GTCAATGCCAGTCCACTTCAGCTCACTAATGCCTCGCGTACTGATCTTTATGAATGCCATTTCATTTTGACAACTTCCAATTTTTCTAGATTCATACTTTGTATATTCCAGGTTCCAATTATCAATGAATGTCTGCAACTGTTCCTTCCCATTCTGAGTCATGCACCACTCGCAAATGAAGGTCCTGAAAGCTTTACTCCTCCATGTCATTATGGTTGACCCTACTTTGAGAAGGCACCTGTTCCCCAGTTCTATTTTGAGTGCCTTCTAACCTAAGGGGCTCATCTTCTGATACTATATCAATGTCCCACTGGTATTCATAAAGTTTTCCCATAATAAATCAGACACCGTTTCACTGCTACTCATAAGGTTTTCATAACCTTACTTACAGTAGTTGCCTTTTATTCTTGAATACCTCTCATTGTCTTCCTTTACCTTGGTCACGTTGTGCTGACTTCCACCATATTGTTTTGCCTTCCCCCTCACCATAATTTGTACTTGTGTTCTATCTAGTTAGTGATTCTCTCTCGCCTCCCCTCCCATCCTTGGTAATCATCAAAAAATGTTTCTGTGTATAAAACTACTCTTGATTTTTTATAATAGTGGTCTCATACAATATTTGTCCTTTTGTGATTGACTTATTTTACTCAGCATAATGTTTTCCATATTCATCCATGTCGTGAGGTATTTCATGCATTCATCATTATTCTTTATCATTGCCTAGTATGATCTAGTCTTAGTCTACCCATTCACCTCATCTGCTATAACTGTGATTTCCTGATCCCTTTCAAAATATAGCTACAAGGTCATTTACTGGTGCATATGTGGCAATGCTTTGTACCACATGACCTTGATACACTAACCACATCTGAATGGACAAGTGTATGGCACCTGAGACGAGGACAGCCAGTGGCCAAAGTGGTAGTTAAATAAAAGATTTATAGCAGAGATGTTCTACAATAAACAGGGATCTGCTGGCTGCACTCACTCTGAGACTTCCAAAGCAAATCATAGCAGAGTAAGAAAATGAAATGGGTAAAGAGAGAAGCAGAGATGAAGGAACAAAGTAACTGTTAAGGTCAATTTGCCCAGCTACTGAAGAGGAAGCAGAATGTTGGGTTCACATTCTACCGCCATCATTTACTGGGCATATGACTTTATTTACTTATTTTTAATTTTTGTTGTAATTTGGGTGAAAGTTACAGAACAAATTCATTTTCTATATAGCAGTTCATACACATTTTGTTTCATGATATTGACTGCAGTCCCATAATGTAACAGTTCTTCCCTCTTCCTCCCTATAATTATTTCTTCCCTGTGTCCCTCTTTCCTGTACATTCCTACGCCCTGAGCTAGTTTCCTGTGCAAATATTGCCCTTCTGTTCTCCCATGATTGATTGTTCTACGTGGTGTAAATGTTCACTCTACACGCGTCTCTATTGTTTGAATAGAAGCCACAGGAGTAAGTTCAATTCCAGCCCTGAAGGGTAACTAGGGGCCATAGTCTCAGAGGTCTCAACAGGTGGCCATGTGACCTTAATGGGCAAGTCACTTTAATGGCCCTGGAGCCTGTCAAAGCTCTTATTCTGCCACCACCACTCCCTCCCCTCTCTAACACTGTTCCCTCATCTGTTAAATGGGAATAACAACAAGACTTACCACAGGACTCATAAAAGGAGTAAATAAAACATTACATTTAAGCCCAGAATCTAGCAAATAGTAAGCTACTAGTAAATATTAGCTATTTTTATTATAATTATCTTGAATAATGGTCTATTTCTCAATGACGTATGACTGTACAGTTGCTGTCATACTCTAAGCAACTTTCCAGTGCTCCATCAGACCTGGTTTTTGTCTGCTGAAACTGTTTCCTGTTTTTTCCTCACTTCCCTATATTTCCTATCACTTCAGGTAAGCTGAAAGTCTCTGTTCCCTGCCATGTTGAAGAATCTAATACAAATTGCTTTCACAAAATAATGCTCTTTCAAATCTCTTTGCCTTTATAAAAGCTGCTCTGCTGGCTTAGGCAACCTCTGACTTCTCCCTTCTCAATCTCTACCTAATCAATTCCTAATCAAGTCCCAAAAACTTGTTCAAATGTCACTCTTCTATAAAACCTTCTCCACTGACAAGGGGCAAGGTTATGGTCATTGCTTGGTCACAGCCAGCTACCCAGAGCGACCGAGTAGTTGATCCTGCGGGCTTGGGACCATAGTCGCAGGGGACATCAAGCTCAATTGGCATAACATACTATACAAAACATTGTTCCACCTCCTACTTTGGCGAGTAGCGACTGGGATCTTAAAAGCTAGCAAGCTGCCATCTAGATGCAACAATGGGTCTCTCCTCATCAAGAAGAAAGAAGAAAATCAAAATTAATGGAAACAATCAGTCCTAGCGACTGGTACACCATCCGATCTGCAACCTATACAACTATGAGACCAGAAGAACTAGATGGTGCCCAGCTACCACTGTCATCCACTTGGAAGGGATGTAGGAGATCCTGCATAGAGAGGGAGAACAATGTGGAACAAACCTCAAAATCATTTGGAGCGGAAAAAAAAAAAAGAAGGTGGGGACCAGGTTTGCTGGTCCAATAGAGCCTGGTGGAACCACTGAGACTATGGCCCCTAGCTGCCCTTCAGGTCTGGAATTGAACCCACAACTGTGGTTTCCAGCCAAACAAAGTACAGGCATGTGAGTTAAACATTTACCTCAAGTAGACACACGCCCTGGAGAGAACAATCATGGGAGAAGGAAGGGCTGCTTATGCACAGGGAGACAGCTCAGGGCGCAGAAGAGTATGGAGGGATGGACACTGGGAAGAGGTAACTATGGGGAGGAAGTGGGAGGGGAGCTGTTGCATTGTAAATTTTGGTCAATGACATGAGACAAAGTATATGTGAACTGCTGTATGAAAAGTGAATTTACTCTGTAAATCTTCACCCAAATCAAAATAAAATAAAAAAATAAAAAAAACCTTCATCAACTCACCCCCATCATTTTGTTTAGCCATTATCTCTCTCTCACTAGAAAGTAAGCACCAAACCCGACATTGTCTTGGCTATAAATTTCATGGTAACAGATTGCCAGACCTTTCTTCCAGGGTGCTCCTGGATGGGTTTAAACTATCAACTTTTAGGTTAGCAGATGAGTGCAAACCATTTGCACCACCCATGGAATCTTGCAAACACCAAAGCCAAGTCTTATTAATCTTATTAATTATCTTATTAATTCCTCAGGACCTAGCACAGGGCTAGGTAGTCCACTGTTTATAGAATAAATCAACATATTACTGTACTTAGAGAAGATTAGTTTGGCATAGCATTTAAGTAGATGAGTTAGCATACAAAGTTGTGTTTTCTTTTGTTGTTGTTGTTGAAACAAATAAATTTGTTTTGCCTACTTTTCTTTACCTATAATAGGAATTTGGGAACTCAGGATTCTATCCTCAATTGCTGCTAGGACAAGGATAAACTGTGCACTTGCTCTACTTTCAACATCATTTTCTTTATATAATTGGGTGTTTTATCATCTTTAAATTCATCCAACACTTTAAGGCTCACAAAATAATTTACATGTATGATGTCACTTTACAAGATATCACTAGCCTTGCATTAAGCAGCATGGAAAACTTGTATTTATATTTCACATTTAGGAACTTCAAGGCATTGCATGAAGCTGAAAACCTTTTTCATGGTATCTAGTAGAGAGATCTTTAACTACATGACCTAAAAAGTTCTTGCCCCAAGATTCACAGAACTAACTTCATCTACCTCACTAATTACTTTTCTTAGGCTAGTTACTCCACATCTTGGAACCACAAAGCAAAGCAGCCAGAAGAGTAAAGCCACTGGGGCAAGGAAGTATTACATCCCTCCTCCTAGAAATAGGGCAATGCAGTCTTATTTTTGCCATATTTTACATCAATCCCTTATTGGTGGAGGCAAAACAGTATCCTTGGTACTTAGCCCACATTAAAGGGTAATTACAGGTAAATCCAGATTACTGCTGCTGGTGTGCCTTAGTGTGAGCAGGTTTCTGACAAAAAGAGCTTTTTACAATGTAGAAAGCTGCACAATTGTTATTCATACTTCAGTGGCTCTCAAAGTATGCCCCCTGCCTGCAGCATCAGCATCACATGAGACCTTGTCAGAAATGCAAACTCTCAGGCCCCATCCTAAGTCTATGGTATCAGAAACTATAGGTGGGACCCAGCAAACCTGTTATAACAAGCAGACCAAGTGACTGTCATACAAACTAAAATTCCAGAATCAGTGTTGTGGTGGAAATGGGTATTAGCCAGGGAAGATTTCTAAAGTTTATTTTCTTTGTAAACAGATAAAGCTGGATTCCCCATAAGCAAAGGTGGACATCCACCAGACTTACAAAAGTTAAACTTCAGGATCCTTCATCTGCTTGGCTTCTGTTGGGGGCTGGAGGTTGCTGGGAACTGCAGAGTGTTCTAAATGGAGAGGAAGCCAGGTTCCAATTTTTTCTCCTTAAGCTTTTCTGGTAAAACTGTCTCTTAACTGAGCTCCCCAAGGCCCCTGGAATTTGCCCTACTTTTCTTCTTCCTAACAAATACTCACTCTAATACCTAAATTTTGTGTTTTTTTCTTAAAATGTTTAAGCTTAAGTAAATGTGTGTGTTTCAGGATGACGGAGACATAGATGCACCTCGACCAAAGAGGTATCTTTCAAGCTAGCAAGCCTGTAAGTGTTATTTCAGCATAAACTGATGCTGCACATAATTAGAATTTCAGATTTTTGTTTTCCTTTTAAAGCTCTGGTAGGTGGTCTCCTAAATGCTCAGGATTGGTTAATTAGGGCGAGTGAATTCGCTTTTGGAGTGGTGAGGGGACTAGTAAATGTCCCGCAGCTGACTGAGGCGAGAACTAGGTGGGAGGGGAAAGAAACCGACCGCAGCTACATTTTCGGAGGCGGGAGGTGGGCGGTTTTAGGAACTGAAGCAGCCACAGTTCCCGCCTCCATCCTACCTGAGCAGATCTTGGCTGAGCTGCTCCGACAGAATCTCCTTCAGTCGGCGCCGCTCACAGAGCCCCTTCCGTGGCAGCCCCTTACTGCAAACTCCAGAGGACCCCAGAATTACCACAGGGGCCGCGCTGTCCTCCCCACAGCGGGCCATGTTCCACGAGGTACCACTGGGCGGGCAGATCCAGTACTGGGCCCCAGTTACTTGTCACCAGAGGGAAAGTGGGGCATTTGCGACCAAACGCTCTGCTCCTCCTACATGTATCCGCCCCCTAAAGGAAAAGGCAGTAGCCTCTGTTGTGTTTGTAGACGGTCCCTTACGACAGTAGGACTTTGTGAAACCTATGTTGCCCTGGACAGCGCCGGCACGTGACCGGTGAGGAGTTTGCGCAGGCGTACTAGCTCTGTTTACTTCTGCCAGCAGGCCCCCCCCCCCCGGGCCCCGCCCCTTCCCTCTTCGTTTCTGTGGGAGCTCACAGTCCCCAGAGCCAAACCGTTTCCGCTTTCTGCTGTTTGCTTTTACTCTTCGTTGTTTTCCTGTTGATGCTAACCCTTCATTTTAATAGATGTTTTACTAAGGTCTAAATTCAAATCACCCCATGCAGCCTTTCTACGCTGTGCGTTCCTGGGATGGAAGAGCATATTTCCGGAGAACGAGTTCACCAGACCTTTCCACCAGCGATTAACAGGCCCTCATTTACTTGCTTCTCTAACCTCAGGCAAGGAATATATGTCGCGAGTGGGAAGGAGAACTTCCTGAGATCACCAAGAGTAGGAACAATCCTGAGAGTCCTCTGCAGAGGACATACATGATTTACAGAGAACCCTATCTCCTTCTCACTCGGTGGCAAATATAACTGCTCTTAGCCTTTAGCTGAGACAGGTCAGATTACATTCCAGTGTTTTGCATGTACTGTAAAGCCATAAAATTTATGACAAGGGGGAAAGCGGTAAGGGGAAGGAGCAGAACCATTGATTTTGCAGGAGGATTGATGAGCTACAGAATTTTGAGTATTTTGGCCCTAGGAAAACAGCTAAAGACCACATTTAAAAGCCATTTAGTATCATTGTTGATGTTAGATATATCATAGACTGAAAGCAGAGAATACTAGAAAGAAGTGTGTGGTGCAGTGAAATGCTTTATGTCCCTTCTAATTATGGTCTTTGTCACTCAAACCAGATGACTGGGTGGGACTGTGCAAATGTGAGGTGCTTGTGGCCCACCAAGGGAATTGTGTAGCTTATTGATAATGTAAATGAGGCGATCTGGTGGCATAGTGGATAAGGCACTTGACTGCTAACCGGAAGGTCAGCAGTTTAAACCCACCAGCTGCTCTGCAGAAAGAAGACTGGGCAATCTACTTCTGTAAAGATTTACAGCCTCAGAAACCCACTGGGGGTTGCTATGAGTTGGACATGACACCATGGCAGTGAGTTTGGTTTTGTTTTTTGGTAAGGTGCATGGAACCCCAACATAGAAAAAAAATGAGCCATTCCAGAAGCAAAAGGGAACTCTCACTACCATCAAGAAAGAAGAGCCAGGAGTAGAGCATATCCTTTGGGACCCAAGATCCCTGTGCTGAATCTAGTGGAGAGCTATGACACCAGAGATGGTGAAAGACTGTGAGAAGCAGCAGCAGAGAAAAGGCAGAAGAGCCAGGAAACCAGCATGAGACAGAGTGGTGTCCTTCCTGGTCTACAGAGTGAGAAAGCTGAGTCCCTTTGGGCAGGAGCTTTGCTGGTAGAGTGGAGTGCCTCTCTGGGCACCTGTTTGCAAAGCTAAAAGAGCTTTGTAACACTTGCCAGAGCAAGGCAGAGGTTGATGGGCCGGGGAGCTGGAGGGTCAAGAGGCCAAGGCCAGAGAGATGTGTATGTGACTTCAGACACTGCTGAGAAGAGGCTGTCCTGATTGAAGAACTGGATCCTAAGTCATTTCTAATCCTAAATTGTAACCTATTACTTCCTTAATAAACCTCATAGCCATGAGTATTGTCTGTGAGTTCTGTGTGGCATGCTACAAATTATCGAACCCAGCAGAGTAGAAAGTGCTGTGGGAGGGATGGTTGATTTCAGAATTGCTAAAAGGGTTAAAGGAGGCTTATATGATCTCCACCTCATAAGAGTTAGCCTTGGGTAGTTGATGTTGATCTTGATTCTCCTTCCTGTTTCATGAAGTTAGAGGAGGTTAGATGGTACCTCCATAGCATTTTTACAAATGTTAAAAAGCAAAGATGTCACTTTCAGGACTAAGGTGCACCTGACTCAAACCATGATATTTTCAGTCTTCTACAAAAGCTGGACAATGAATAAGGAAGACCAAAGAATTGATGCCTTTGAATGCTGGTGTTAGTGAAGAATACTGAATATATCATGGACTTACCAGAAGAATGAACAAATCTGTCTTGGAAGAAGTATAGCCAGAATGCTACTTAGAAGTGAAGATTGCAAGACTTCCTCTCATGTACTTTGGACATGTTATCAGAAGGGCCAATCCTTGGAGAAGTACATCATGCTTGGTGAAGTAGGGGGTTAAAAAAAAAAAAGAAGGAAGACCCTCAACAAGATGGGTTGACACAGTGGCTGCAACCATGGGCTCAGACATAGCAACAATTGTGAGAATGTGAAGGACTGGGCAGTATTTCATTTTGACTTATACTTAGAGTCACTATGAGTCAATACCAACTCACCAGGACCTAACAACCACAACCTTTATGACCTACTTTAAAAAGTTCTATTAATCTTATTTTCAAGGTTAGAACAACTTTCTAGACTTACAGTAAATTTAAATTTTTTTTTCTCACATCAGGTAAGTACATAGGTGTTTAAAAGCATTATAGAAACAACATAACAATGTAGAAGCAGTATACATAATAGTAATTTACACGTTTGTGTTTTAAGAACATTACAGAATCAGCTGTGAGATGAAAGCATACAAGAAGCATACATAAAACTCTCATGAAAAACAAAACAAAAACTTGTAATTGATGCCTCATATCCTATCATTAGAGATTTTTTACTTAAAGCATTATCTCTATTAAAATTACTTCACCTCTGTGGTTGTTTACTCCTTCACTCAAAAGTTACTCACTGCCATTGAGTCGATTCCAACACATAGCCACCCCCTTTGGGTTTCTGAGGCAGTAAATCTTTGCAGAAGTAGGTTGCCCAGTCTTCCTTCTGTGGAGTGGCTGGTGGGTTGAATGGCCTATTTTCTGGTTAGCAGTCAAATGCCTTAGGCACTATGCCACCAGAGCTCCTTAGCTTGAGAAAAAAGAGGAAAAGAGTGTCATGAGGAGCTAGCAGAGGTGGCTCTGAGGGGAATAGTGGCTAAACCATCATTTTGTTTAATCTTGGACTTAACTATGATCCTCATGTGTGAAAAATAAATTTAGAAAAAAACTCTTCCAAGGACTCTAATTTCATGAAAAGAAAGGTCCCTTCCCATTACAATGTTTTAATCAGAGAAATTTCAAACATAAAAAGAAATAGGTACAGAGAGCCCCAATATACTCATTACCAAAATTAAACAATTACCAAGATTTGAGCACATACTCTACTCGTCTTCTACATCTTTTCTTACTTCCTTCTAAAGTTTTAAAAGTAAAGCCCCAAACATTTTAAAATTTTACTTCCACACACTTCAGTATGCATCTCTTAAAAAATTGTACTTTATTTAAATATGACCACAATGGTTACATTATCCCTTACAAATTAACAATACTTCCATTTAAAATGTAGTTCGTTACAAAAATTTCCTGATCTAAAAATTTCCTTTTATAGATAGTTTGTTTTTATCAGTTTTCAAATAACATTTGGCTGTTATGTGCCTAAGTCTCTTCCAATCTAAAGTGGTTCCCTTTCTCATCCTTTCCCTGACATGGTTGACTGGAACAGAAGCCCAACCAGTCTGTTATATCACTTAACTTGTTCACTTGTCCCAAGCATTTGCTGCAGATTGAAGTTATCTTAAAAGACTTGATTAGATTCAGATTTAACTGTTAAGTAAAAATATTTCATGGGTGGGGAATTAGTTTTTTATTGCTATTGTAACAAATTGCCGGAAATTTAGTGGCTTAAAATAATACAAATTTATTATCATACACTTCTGTAGGTTAAAAGTTCAACATGAATCTCAGTGGGCTAAAATAAAGGTGTAGGCAGGGCTGAATTACTTCTAGAAGCTCTAGGGGAGAATCTGTTTCCTTGCCTTGTTCAGGTTCTAGAGGTTGCCCACATCCTTGACTCGCAGCACCCTTCCTCCATCTTTAAAGCCAGAAACGGTGGTTAATCTTCACATCACATCACTCTGACCTCTTCTTAGGTCTCCCCATACCTTCTTGTAATGACCCTTGACATTACATTGGACTGAATGGATAATCTCCTTATTTTAAGGTCAGCTGATTAACCAAACACCATTGCCTTCCAGTTGATTGTGACTCATAATGACCCTGTAGGACAGCGTGAACATCCCATAGAGTTTCTAAGGCTGTAATCTTTATGGAAACACACTGTCACATCTTTGTCCCATGGAGAACCGTGGGTTTGAACCTCTAACCTTTCAGTTAACATCTGAGCACTTAACCACTGTGCCACCCTGGGCTCCTGGGTCAGCTGATTGGCAACCTTAATTCCTTCTGTGACCTTAATTTCCCTTTGCCATGTAACCTTACATATTCATAGGTTCTGGCATTAGGACATGGACATCTTTTTTTTTTTTTTTTTTATTGTGATTTGGATGAAAGTTTACAGAGCAAATTCACTTTCCATACAACAGTTCACATACACATTGTCTGATGACATTGACAGTTTACCCCAATGCAACACCTCCCCTCCCACTTCCTCCCAATAGTTACCTCTTCCCTGTGTCCATCCCTCCATGCACTCCTGCCTCCTGAACTGCCTACCTGTGTATAAACAGCCCTTCTTTCTCCCATGATTGTTCTCTCCAAGGGATGTATCTACCTCAGGTGCATGTTCAACTCATATGCCTGTCTTTTATTTGACTGGAAGCCACAAGTGTGGGGTCAATTCCAGACCTGAAGTTCAGCTAGGGACCATAGTCTCAGTGGTTCCACTAGGCTCCATCAGACCAGAAAACCTGGTCTCCCCCCTTTTTTTTTTTCAAATGATTTTGAGTTCTGTTCCACATTGTTC